AATAATAATAATAATAATAAATTTTATAAAGATTTAAACAAACTTAAAACTGCGATTTATGAAAAATTTATAGAAGTAGTAGCCATTGCCGTTATGAAAGTTTTAATATATCGCAAACTAACACCAATTAAAGCAGTAGTAAGTATAATCAAACCGCCAAATATTATATATTAAAATCTGGATTAGGTTGGCCTTTTTTAGATTCTTGCTGCTGTACATTAAATTTTCGGGACGGTCAAATTATGGGGCAATGTTTTGTGCCGTTTTCCTTCTTAGAAATTTAAATTTTCGCTTAGAAATTCCATTGATGGCATAATGATTTAAAAAGGTTATTGATCGAAAAGGCGCCAATTTCCTTAAGTTTGTCTTAAATGATAAGCGAAACGCATTTGAGTTGTAATGAGAAAACTACATGGGCGTATTCATGGATGTATTATGTCGTTTAAAGTGTAACATTCATGTGCAAAATGGTGTATGATCGTTATCTTGAACAACAAAAAAAAAGTCAGCAAATAATAGAAGGTCAGGGTCAAGCGTATATTCTTTTTTACCGTGAATTTGTAAAGGCTGGCAACAGTAAGAATTGCGATTATATATTTATATATATATATTTACATATGTATACAAATACATATAAGTAATAGTAGAAACAGCATTTCGTTAGCAGAATATGTTAATATGCAATGTAAACTTGTACACAAACTTGTCAAAGAAAAGTCAGTTATTGTCAGTAGTTTCTTGCTCTTTTTCATAGCGTTTGTTTACAACAAATGTCATGAAGTACCATATAACAAGTTTGTTGCGCAAGTGTCGCTGGAGAAATGTCCCCTCTTATAATATGTAATGTTTTTGATCAATTTAATAGAAGTTAAAATGCCACAAAGAATGCTGAATCCAATAAACTAGAGCAGCATTCACTTTCAAATTCAGTTCTCGTCACTTAGCTAAGAACACCATTCATATACTAATATGGGACAAAGAATTAATGACCAGTGTAATTAAAAAAAGAAAATTTACTTATACGAAAGCCTATCATACTAGTTGGATATTTCCACGTCTTTCAAGTCCAATAAGTTTTCTAATTCGTCAACAACGTTACCATTGTGTTTTATGGATTTCAACCAGTTTACATAATCGTTAGTCAAGCCCGTTTCAATAGCTCCTTTGATTAAACATTTTAGATAGGTTTTCGATGGTTGACGATCAAATGGTGTGTCATCAGGTTGCATTAGTTTGAAGTCCGTCGAAGGTTGGTTTACAAGCGCATACACCCGAGCAACTGTAGTACGATTAGGTCGATGAGCTATTGATAAACTTAAGGGCCTATAGATTTCCTGAGGAACACCTTCCTGCCTACAAACGTTAACAAAAACTTAAAAAGAAAATATTTTTAATTTCTTTTTGAACTGAATTTACTCATCCAAGTCGCTTAAATTGATTAAATCTATTTCCCATAATGTGCCAAGGACAGTCCGGTTCTGATGAGGTACCACGGTAGCTGGAGCGCCTTCCCAGCGTTTAGTATACGTATGAAAATCTAGTCTATAATCCTGTAAATATATAAAACATTTTTTTTTTTTTCAGTAAATGCCATATAAATCATATATTGTATAAAGTGTATGTTTGTGTACACTGGCACAGGCTGTGTGTTAACTTTGACCGAAGACTCAGCAGCACAAATTATGTAATTTATTATGCTCTCAATTCTCTTTTACTTACATTTAGTTGTCCTGACCCAACTTTTATCGCTGTTGGATTTTGTAAATGTATACGCTTGGTTAGCATATTACTTCCATAGCCGAAGTAGTAAAATTTATCGCCAATAATCTCAGGCAAGACAATACTATCATTATTACCACCACTGTCTCCACTTCGACCTGACTGATTAGCGCTTAAATTACCCGCAAACACACTCAAAATTAATAAAGTCACAAACATTTTGAATTACGTAGCATTACATTCAATTGTGACTCTTTAGTCTAAACAAATGTTCAACGTGAACTGTGTTTTGCAAAAGTATATTCAAAGTCATTGAACATTGTTTTGAAAAACTAGAAAGTATCTGCTGCATATTTATTGTAGTAGAATGGACACAGTTTGATTTTTGTAATCAAAGCGCGCTACTAATAGCTTTGCGGTCACAGCGTCAATATATAAAAATTTATTTAACTGATATGAGCACATGATGCAAACATTTGAAAAGTTTATTTTATATTAAATAAAATAATTATATTCTCAGTGATTACTATAGTATATTTGCTTTATATATTTGTGCAAAAATTCCTATGTTTGGCTTTAGAGAGAATTTGAGCAGAGTGATTCATTGAATTGTAGCTAGTTGGTGACTTTCGCATCTATAATAATTTTTATTAACTGTTGATGTCTCTGTTTTCTCGAATGCTTGCGAGTTTGTCTGCAAGATATTCTGCTTTTTTTAATGTCCTCCATGCAATGTAGTGAATGCAAAAGTTTATAGTCGCCGACATCTTTGCTTATACTTATTGATTAAATTATTTTTTTATTCACGTTTATGTATATATATCAGTTTTATTACTCGCAATTTATATGTACAGCCATGTAATGGGTGGGGTTATACTGAACGTCTCGGTCTGGTTGTAACCGTTTTAGAGACTACTGTAAAACGCTTTTAATTAAAAAAAACGAATTCTGTAGCTATTGTCTATCGACAATACTTGTTCAATCAAGAGCTAGAATGAAAGAATCAAGAGTTTTGCTAATTTCCCTCGTCAGAATTAAAAATTAATGAGAAAAGTTGCCTTTATTCGGAATAAAGTTCCGTATTTATACAAAATTTATAGGAACAAATAGTTTATAAATTATAAAATGGAACAAATTAGATAAGAATAAGTAAGCACATTATAGTCGAGTGACGCCGACCATCATATATTCTGCTTACGCCACTGCGCCAAGAGCAGATATTCGCTCGTTTTGGTAATAATATACCAAAAAGTACACATTATTTTCATGCAAAGTCATAATTTTCATGAGAGCTTGAATATTGGACGGTTAAAAATTGACCTCTGTGACGCAAATTCCCCACTGTTAATTTGTTTTTGCTGAAATGCTCCTACAAATTATTAAGATATCATGAACTACTTTGACGCAAAAGCGAACGCTATTGGTGATAGCTCGGACCGGTCTATTTTCTCGACCACTGTGCATTTAGAACCTTACTTTAAAAAGTTGTTATTTGGAAAGAATATTAATTTCAAAATTTTTGCAAGAAACTCGTTCTGTAATAGTATTTGGACATTCTAAATGAGTATGAAAAATTTGATTCGGCTGGGGAACTTTTTTGAACCCTCTCTCACGAATCGAATCAAACCGAAGAAAACTGAATCTTTACACAGTAACAAGTAAGAACATTATAGTCAGGCAAGGCTGACCGCTAAGCACCCTACACCACATTGTCTACCACTAAATTATTATTATGGGTCAATCTTCATCACTAGATAATAAAACTTTTATTTTTTTGTAAAGCAAAAAGAGCATCAATTTTTGTGAAAATTCTTACTAGGATAGGATGCAAAAAACAGGCCAAGGTGGTCCAAATTTTGATTCACTATTGTGATCTGATTTTCATCATTGCATTGAAAATTCGAACTTTTTGTCGTGTGAACTTCAGTTTTCGGGAGTTCAAAAAATTGCCCCAGCCGGTCCAAAGTTTTCATGCAAATTTAGAATGTCAAATTACTACTACTTAGCCATTTTTGTGGAGAAATTTCAAAAATTACAATATTTTCCATATAATGACTTTCCAAAATAGGGCGTTATATGGGGAGTGGCCGAAAGAGTAGACCGAATCGAACCATTTTTAATGGCGTTTGTGCTTGGGTCAAAAACTGTCAGTGTATTAATTTTCATCAAAATACCTTAAAAATTGCGACCTGTAGCTTGGCCAGACATGAGAAAGACAGGAAAGGAAAAGATATAATTTTTAATATATCATGGCGAGAAACGTCGATTGAAATGTATGGCTTTGCATGAAAATAATGTGTAACTTTTGGTATATCATTAACAAAAATGTATGAAAAACTATATTGAGCAAAGTTTTGTATAATTACTTTAAAGTTTTCAAGCCTTGTTATATTCGTTTAATAGCTTAGGACCTTTTTTTATTTCTTAACATGTAAAAGATACATTTGAAAATTTTTACGTGCTCATAGAAATTGTTTTCGTTGGAAAAATATTTAAGAACATTTTTTTAGACTATCCACCTATACGTTTTAATTGAATTAAAATAAAAACTTAAATGTGAATACTAGGTATGCGGAAAGAAAAAAAGATTTTTCTTAATTTTATCATTAAAAGATCAGTGGAAAAAAATTTGTTTTTCAATTCTCGTCTCTATGCAAAATTAAACGTATAAATAGCTATTCAAAGTTCAGTAAAAAGGGGAAAGAAAGAAAAAGAAAATCAACATACATTTCTAGCAACTAAAACTTTCGCTCTACTACTTTATTCATGCCATACACATAACTTTTATCTCATCGTCATTTGTTCTGCCTTTCTCCGCTGGTAACTTGTTGTTGTATACCTAAACGACCTACTTGCTAACAAAATAATGCACAGCTAAATATATATATATATATATATATATATATATACGTATGTATATGTATCAACATATATATTATATAAGCGTGTGCGCAAATAAATTTGTTTATGGTTTAAACATTTGCACATTAACACATAGATTAACAGATATTTTTTGTTATAGGCATAGCATACAAATAGGCGTAGGTAAATTAATTTAAAATACATGCATGCATACTTTTAGAAGGCATGCAATGCGATATGCACGCATGCATAATGCATATACACTATTCTCGCTATAGTAAAACCTGCCAGCCTAGAAAAGCAAAAGTAAATGCAAACAGCAATTAATTAATTGCGCAGAAAAAGAGTTGAACGAAACACCTAATGAAATGGAATTTATTTACTGATATAACTCAACCTGCGCGTTACCGATCTTGAACGCTTTGAAGGTTATAGGCGCAACTGAAAAATACAAGCATTTACTATTGATAAAATTTACTGCGATATATATACATATATATATATATACATATATATATATATACATATATAGAGAAAGTGCTTCGCCTTAGGTTACATTGTTTTTTGTTAAAATGAAAATATATTTGCACCTTACCTAACTGCATAATCAAAGCATGTTAGGCGAATTTAAGATAATCATTAAATTTTTCAATAATATTTTTGTCCTATTTATCTAGCCATAAAAAATGTTAGTAACGTTGTGTTGATAGTAGTTACATTTGCATTTTTATTTAATTAATTCTAGCACTCCTCCAAAAATTGTCTCACCCGAAAATTCCCTCAATTTAGCAAGACTTAATGGCTCCTTATACAGATCCTTAAATTTGCTCATTAGCTTTGTACTCATAAGATGACCCATCTATAATGCGCTTTTCATAACCGAAATTCCCACTTAGTATGATAACATTTTGAGCTTCTTTAAGAAGTTGCGCTAATTTTTGATGGAAATCTTTGATATATTTGGATATGAATGGGGCAGGAAATTGTAAAACCAACAATTTATCTTCGGCATTTTCATATAATTCACACGCTGCTGCTTTTTCAAGAAGTTTAGGCAGCTTTATTGAATGTCACTGTTTTGAATAATGAAAGCTTCGTTATTACTCTAATAATTAATAAAAAATATGATCTTCTTAACCATAAAAAAAATTTGTTAATGATGATTTATTTTTTATCTCCTCCACCTCCTCCACCTCTTTGCTGGTCCCCACCTCCTCCACCTCAATTTTCCCATCTTTCAGTCACAAATGCAATTTTTATAATTTTAATCCGAATATGTTCTTCAAATTACAGCTGATTATTATTATGGTATTGCGCAAACAAAATGAATTGTTTACATAGTCAGAATAAATAAATAAATAAATAAATTGAGAATAAACCGGGGCGCAACTAAATTGTTGTGTTTATAAATTGAGAATAAAAGCAAAACGTCAAGGCAAGTAATATTTAAATCGGTTAGAAACAATCCGCGGTTGATACGTTCCAAAATATCCGTTAAAGGCGCCCATTCTCTAATGGAATATAACTCCCTGTCCATTGATTGATTAAATGCTCCCCACTTTATTTTCTCTTTTTACGGCGATTATTTTTTTAAGAAAAATGTAATCCGGGTTGTGCTCCGAAATGTTCAAGCGGAGTTGCAATGTTTTCGATAAAACGTAATGCAGCTGAAGTTTCTACCCAATTACCCTTCATGGATCAATATGTGTATATGTTCGATTCTTCTATGTACTCTTCAGTATGCTCTCTTACCGCTTATCCTGTATAAAACGATTGTTTCACAGCAAAAAGAAAAAAAATTGAGTGAATATATTTTCGAGGATTTTCTATTTGGTTTTTATATGTGTAAATAACTGCCTAAAAGTATGTTATAAATTGAGATGTTTTATTTAAAAAAAAAAAAAGGCGCAAAGATAATTCTTAAAAAATTGGAGAAAGTGGTTTTCCGTACGTAACAGATAAACTAACTATTTTTGATTTAAAAAAAATATATTTTTTTTCTTTTCATAATTATTTATTTACTTGAAAGTAATTTTTAAATAATGTAGATTTGATAAGTAATTAATTTAAAGCGACTGTAAATTCGTATTTCTTTTTATACTTATCTTTCGACGTCAAGTTAAAGTATATGTGAGTGCATGTGCATCCTGTGATCTGGTAGTCAAGCTGTCAGTGGTGTCAACAGAAGTTTAAAAAGTTAAAGCAGACTGATATAACCTTGTCTTAAGAATTCCATGTTAACAATGAAATAGAATGTCAGAAGGGGACGAAAAACTAAATTGTTTTATTAAAATTTAATTTTTTTATACCCTACCTGTAGTATAAGGTTAAATTAAGTTTGCACAAATGTATGCAACATCCAGAAGGACTTGAAGGGTAGAGTTTCGTTCGACTCCGAATCACAATTTGATTTGATTTGAAGGTATTTGTCCATCCGTCCATTTTATTTTCTTGCGTTCAACCAACAGGCCGCAATTTTTAGATGACCTTTAATACATTGACTTGTTTTGGCTTAAGAACGAACGATTTGAAAAATGTTTTGGATTGGACCAATTTTTTGGTCACTTCCCGTATAAAGGCAATATATGAATAATTGTGAAGCAGTATAGGGTATTTCGAGTGGGTAGG